AATAATCACATTACTAAATTTTGATCCCTGAAATTCTTGGTAATACCAATGTTCACTTTGTCTGGTTTTGTTGCAGCCTGCCCCAAATTACTTAATTTGTTTAAATAAATTGTTTAAACATTTGAACATTTACATTCAGCTACTAAGAGAGGTGGCAGTTTCAACTAGAAACCTGAGTAGCCACCTGAAGTCTAGTGAATTGTATATTTTAGATGTTAGTATCCCTGAAGTGATCTTAACTGGAAAGCCAGCATGAAGCCTGGAAAATATATTTTAATGGACTTTACATTTTTTTTTATCTTTATGTATTTGTGGCAGCTGTATCTATTTGCAGAAGCCACCTCTCAAGCTTGTATTTTGGATTTTACTTGCTCAGAGTATGTTTTTTGATGAAACTAAGGAATTGAACAAAGATGAAAGATTACTTGTGATAATGCAGATGGACAAAATAAAAACAATACTACCATTTATACTTTGTAATATGAAAGCATTGAATTAAATTTCATGATTCCTGGTCACAACAAACTCAAATGTGTTGGTAATTTTGGCTTGATTAAGAAACTCTACAGAAAAACAACTGTAGATTGTGTGTATCATGTTATGGATGTGGTGAAAAGATCTAGTCCAGCAGGATTAAATAAAACTCAGATGGAAAGGTTTTCAATATTTGGATATCAAACCTATTTTGGGAATTTGCTTTAAGAAACTACCAGGCATACAGAAATATCAACAGTTTCTTTTATTATAAAGTTCAGAGAAAATGATAAAATTTGACAAATAGGGCAAGGGATCATCGGTTGTAATAACCAAAAAAGAGGTAATTAATTTCCGAGTCTAATCTTTTCTAGAAGAAATCCTATGTGTCAGATTTAGAACAAAAAGTATACAATTAAGGTTTGTGGCTGAAATATTAATATGGCAATTGCTATAATAATATAATAATGTACATGCAATGCATATTTTTTTATTCTACTATTCAGCGTATTAGTATAAGGCGGGAGTTGTTTGTGCTAACCAAATTTGGGAAATGTTTGCAAAAAGTCTGTTGATAGTTTCCAAACTTGATTGGCTCGGACAATCCCTTCATACCAGTGATCACCGTTTGATTTTCCAAAAGTTTTCAATGACCAAAATTTTTGTTATAAATACGAAATCAAAAAATGACGAATTTTTCTTGGTTTATTTTTAATTTGAATTTTCATCTTTTTAAGCATGTCTTTAGACAAACTTCGTCAGGAAGTGCTTTCCAATGAAACTGGTGAAGAAAGAGTCGAAGTCAATCAGAGGCACTTGATTGATAAAATATTAGCAAGGTAGTTAGTTTTTAATTATCTACCTTTTTCAGCCTTCATTAAATACTTAATAAAAAATACCTTTTATTATTAGATACTCTGCTGAATTTGTAGTTTTTAGAGAGTTATTACAAAACTCAGGTACCATTCTGTGCATGTCATCATTTTGTACATTTTATCATTTTCTTGAGTAAAAATTACCTTTAAACTATATAAAATCTATTATTGACTTTTAGATGATGCTAAAGCCACAAATGTTGAAATAATATTTATGACCGAAAAGTATACACCAAACAGTGATAATAATATCTGTTTATCAGAAAAATGTGTCAGAATAATATTTAAAAATAACGGCTTTGTATTTCGGTCTGAAGATTGGAATAGATTGAAGAAAATCGCCGAAGGGAATCCTGATGAACAAAAGGTTTGATCAAATAATTTAAATTATTTTTATGCATATGAATTTCATTTGTAATTTTTACTTATTTTATTTGTAAATAAATTACTAGATCGGCGCCTTCGGTGTTGGGTTTTATTCATTGTTTTCAGTCTGTGATGCTCCTTTGTAAATATATTATTTGCTTATGTATATGAATAAATATATAAATGGATAGTGAATATATGCAATAAATATGTTAATTTAATGATATAATCATTTAACACATTCATTTTATCATTATATTTTGTAGTGTATCGTCAGGTACTCAAGGTATGGCTTTTTATTGGCGTGGTGATCAACTGTTCGCCAAACGAAGTAATATCAAACAAGATGATACAACTTGGACAACTTTTTTGATGGACACACGAGAAAAAGAAAAGGTAATTTGTTTTTTTTTCTTTAACTTTTTTAATATAAATAGATGTTCATAAAAATACTTAAATTTCATATTATTATTTTTTTAGTTACCTGAGATAGAATCATTTGGTCGCTTTTTAGCAACTTCATTGGTAACAATTTATATCTAAATCAGTATTTTAAAGTAAAGCTTTCTTGTATATCCATTTTAAATATAGATATTTTATTATAATATTGGTAATGCTGTTATATAATTAGGGTTTTACTGGAAATCTTCGTGAGGTTACAGTTTACTTCAATGAAATACGAGTAATTCAATTAACAAAAAAAACGAGTGTATCACGATCAATGTCAATTGATTCTGGAATAAATACAACTTCGCCAGACAATATGTTCAAATTGAAAACGGTAGACATTTTTACAGTACAATTAGACGTTAACAGATTAGTCACCCCAACAAAATTATTAAAGTCAAGAACTCCAATAACTTCATTTTCATCAGAACAAACGACCATTTTCTTAAGAATTGCCAGTGGTAACTTGGATTTATATATTCCTGAAGCATTTAGTCTAGAAATGGAACGATCTACCAAAAAAAGACCACCAAAGAATACCAAAATACAAATGATTTTTACTGGTTTTGACGAACATAATTCCTCTGGTGATTACGATAAAAAAATTTCAGAAGTATTCAAGGATTTATTACCATTTCCTGGACAAGGTAGAATATTTATAGGATTCCCAACTCATCAAACAACAGGTTGTTCTGCACATTTGGCTGCCAGAGTAATTCCTACAGTAAGTGAATATTTCTAATTTACATATGTAAATATTTAAATAAATGAATATGTATTGATTGTATTTGCAAAAATTATAGGTTGAACGTGAATCTGTAGATTTGGTAGACAAAACTTTGGCAGTCTATAATAAAGGAATGTTATGTTTGGCTGGAGTATTGGCTCGTATAATATACGATGATGAGCTGTCGCAAGTTTCAAAACTATATAGAGAGATTATTGGTTCTGGTACATCAAAACCAGATGACGAGCCAATAAAATCAGCTTTTGAATATTTTCAAAGTCGTGCTGCACACGCTTTAGCTCATTTTTCATTCAAGCTAAGCACACCTAACAATATGATTTCAAGAATCAGCGAATCACAATTTTTTAACTGTACGCAAGCTTCACTATCAATATTATCTAGCCGTGGTGTTTTACCAATTAAATCTGTACGGATACCAAATCCAGAAATGACACCTTTTATAAAGACAATTCCTACTGTTGCACCATTATTGTTAAGTCAATGTGATGAATTTTTTAAAAAGGCAAAAGATACACTAAGATTTATTTCTGAAATCTCGTTAGATGATCTCTTTGTGGAATTGGAAAGTCGAATATTAAACGAACAGGAGATAATAAGTTTATTTAAATGGTGGATAAATTATCGTTCTAAAAACTTAGTCACAGAAGATCAAATTCAAAATTTTATGAGAATTGTTATAGTACGAGTTAAAGATGTTGACTTACCCCTTAATTGCATTTCCTACTTTATAAATCCATCTATAATTCCACCTGACGTAGACCTTCCATCAAGTGTCTTACCATATTCGATAAGTAAACATCTCAATAAAAAAGATTTCGAAATCTATTTTAGGTAAGTGAATGAATGAGGAGGGGATTTAAAAACAACAATAATAAATCTTTATAATAATTGCTAATATATTTTAATTATTATTTTATTTTAATTTATTTATTTTTATTAGAGGTTGGATAGAGCTTACATTGGTTGCTTGGGTTCAATTTATATCTTCAAAACCTTTATTAGAACAAGACCCTGCTTTTTCAGAAAAGTTCTTTGGGATAGTTTCGCGTCATTTTAAAAGCATCTCTAAAACGGATCAAGAAACCATCAAACAATTGCTATTTCAAAAAAATTGCATACCGACTACATTTGGCATGAAAGTACCCGACGAGTCCTATTTTCCAAGTGTCAATTTATTCCCTGATTTGCCTATTATAAAATTTCAACATAAAATAAATGATGATATTCTTTTATTCTTGGGAGTTAGAAAGGTAATTGTAATGTTTATTATTATTTATCATAAGCTATATATCACATTAACTAATTAACTAATTAAATGGATAATTAATTTAGCATGTTGAATTGCAACTTATATTTGATCGATTAATTTGTCAAGGAAGTTGGGATCATATGCAATTAATTAAATATCTTGCCATAAATAATCTTAAAGATATTGAGATAAAAAGATTAGCGGTCACACCTATTTGGCCAAAGGAATCTAATACAAATAAAGAAAAAAGTGATAATGATAATAATGACGATAACACAAAAGTTAAAATTCAAAGATTTACAGCAAAAGACTTATATGCACCATTACCACAATTACGTGAATTTGGCTTACCAATAATTGAATGGAATGGTAAATGGCGTAAAAATATGAAAGAAGGTAAATTCGATTTATTCATGATTTTATTTCTATTATTGCTTTGTTTATTTCTTTCATATTTATAATAATTATTTATGTTATTTTTAGTTAATTTTATTCTACAGCTTGGTTTACGGGATTTTCCACCAATCGATGTAATACTTCAACTGGCGTCATCAACTACACCACTTCCGGTTCGACAAAAGGCACTTAAATACTTTATAGAAAATTTCAAAGAAAAATATTCGAAGGATTACAAACCAGAACTGGTAAAATTTGCATTTCTCCCATGTTCTGCCGACCCAAATGTTTACGCAACACCTTCCGAATGTTATTCAAATCCCGAATGTGCCATTATGAAATTCAATGTTTTACATAGAGAATTGCGGCACAAGTCTGAAGAATTTGGTATAAAACAAAATCCTGATCGTTTACAAGTATTAGAGAAATTAAGGAAAGAACCACCAGAAAACGAGGAAAAAGCAAAATTAGTTTTTAGCTATTTGTCTTCATTTCAAAATCACTTTATACACCCGGATTGGCTTAGTTTAAGTCAATTAGCTTTTATTCCAATTCGTGAAAAGAAGCAATCGAACGTATTAAAATATGGTTCACCACAAAACTGTTTTTTTAAAGGTTCGGAAGAAAGGTATTATTAATTTTATAAATATCTCTTTTTTTTTAAATATAAAAATAATAATTATATTTTTTTCTCTTTTAAAACAATTCAGTTTTGCAGGCTTTTTTTATTATATCGATTTTGGTGAGAAGGCAAATAAATTTTTACAAAGTTGTGGTGTTAAAAATGAACCTTCTCCAATCGAGTTGGCCGAATTTTTAATAAACTCTTCACATGACTTTTTGAAAAGTGTCGGTGATAATATTGAAAAGTATTTGGCCGTACTACATAGAATTGCTATAGAATTTCATTCAATCCAAGGAAATCAGAAATTATTAAATAATATGAAAAGATATCCGATTTTGCTAGGTATGACTAAAAGACAATCCGAGGAAGGAAAAAATAAAGACAAGGCGGTTGTTGGCAAAAATGAAGCCGATAATTCATTAAATCAAATCGAAAGATATGTATTAGCAACTCCAAATGAGATTTATATAAATGATAATGCAATATACCAAGATATTTTTGAACCACTAATTTGTCCTATGGACCATTATTTAGAAAAGTTATATATGGTAATGTATTTCGGTTATAGATTCGTTTATTTAATTAAATATTATATTATAAATTAATTAACGAATAGTTTTTTCTGAAAAGAGCTTGGGATGTCCGTTATTAACCAATAGTGTCAAGTCTTCGCCTAATATTAAAGGAGTACCAAAGGTTACTCAAAAATCTAAAGAATTACAAAATTTGATTAAAGAACGTTCACCGCTGTTTTTCCATGAGGTTCGTAAAGCCGATATTGTTAATAATGAAAGTTGGGTAAAAAAATTGAACGTGTTGGGGGTTGATCAGATTGAGACAACCTATATTCTGGCTCCAAATAATATAACAAAAATTGAACATTCAAATACTTGTGTTATTTCACACGACAGTTGGAAAAACGACTGGACACTATATGTTAAACACGGTGAATTAGATACGCTTGATATTGCATCAATGATTTCACAATACATTTATAAAAAACCACAATTAAAAGAAGCCACCCTTATAAGCATGTTATTAATGATGCCACTCAATGCCCTCAAACGTAAAGGATTCCCTGTAGAACGTATAATGAGTCAACAAAAAAGTTTTAGACGTGTTGTTGAAAATTTGGATAATCCTAAAAGACCTCGAATTGATGAACAAATGACACCCAATAATTATAATACAAACCAGGGTCAACTAAATATTGCTGAACTAGAAAACTATTCTAAGCAGCTACAGAGCACGTTTCCTGAATGTGACCCTAATTATATAAAATCATGTCTTGCACAAGAAAATTCAGACCACTTGATGAAAGTTGCAAACAAATTAGCCGAACAAGACTATCCAAAAAAACAATCGGGTATTAGAAATGATCAAGAAGGTTCGTCGCCTTGGAACATTTTTAAAAATTTGACGGAATATGTTTCACCTGGTGTGTCTAAATCACATGCTGATAAGCCTCCCGTACTGGTATCGCGAAATACTACCGAGGATTTGAAAAGGACATTGAATGAGGCCGTAAATTCATGTCGCTCAAATTCAGGCTCGGCGGTTGACAGTCAAGCTAAAGTGAATATTGTTTCAGAAAGTCAATCGAGTTATTGTGATGTTATGCCAGGTAAGATAGATAGATAAGTTGATTTTTTCTATTGTATATCAAGCTTAAGGTTTTTCTTTCTATCAAAATTTTCAATAATAGGTCACTCATTAAAATTTATCGGAACGGAGAACGGGATAGAATTATATATTGGCAAAAACTTGGATCAGACGGCACTTTTATCTCCAACTGCACTAAGCCCTTTAAGACGTTTTATTCAAGTTCTCAAGTATCTCTGTGATGTTTTTGGACTACATCAAAAAGCAATCCATGTATTTTATGATCCTGCCACTGATTCTATCGCCTTTAATCGGAACAATTCATTGTTTTTTAATTTTAAATTTTACATTGCTTTACATGATTCTGAAAATTTACAATTTTCAATTGAAACAATGGTTTACTGGTATATGACATTTTGTCATGAATTAGCTCATAATTTTGTAACTCAACATAATTCACAGCATGAGGTAAGAATTTAAATTCAAACTTTTATTTTTCTTATAAATATTTGTCTCTATACTAATTATATTTTCTATCTTCTATCATAAAGTTTTATTTTTCATCATACTCTGAAACTTATTTTGAAAGGTTCTTGAATGTGTTGAAGCGACTAAAAAGGATTTAATATATTTGAATGATTTAGTTTTATTATTTATTAGTTTTTCCGCATATTAATTAATGCTTTTGTATTTTTATTTATTTATTTGCAAATTAATCAAATTAAAATTTCATACCACTAAAAAAATAAAAATATTTATTAACAAAATTGTAATTAGTCTTTCTTCGTTTTATTATAATCAAAGAAGATGTGTCAACTTTCTTAATTACACACGATATATTAAAGAAGGTTGTATATACATTACACCTAGACAAAAGTATTTGATCACATGTTTACACTAATTAGTAAAAATCTACATATTCGAAATTTCACGTTGCTTCATGTAAAACATTTCACTATATTTTCACGTTTTTTAAAAAATTTTATATAATAAAAAATGGTAAATTTTATATAAATGAAGGCTATTGTTTTGAAGAATAAATATATGAAATTTTATATTTCTATTATGCCTAGAAAATAACATTAACAAGACACTGAATTTTTATTTAATAAATAATTTCAATTTTGATGATCATGAAAAATATAAAACTTTTTTATTAAGTTGATACATGAAAGCTAGCAACATGAAAATTTTTTGTGATATTGATATGTAGATTTTTTACTAATTAGTGTAAACATGTGATCAAGTACTTTTTTCTATATAGGTATTACAGAATCTTTTATTCCTGTTATATAGAAATAGAACAAATTTTGTTTTCACTAATAAGTTAATTAAATCATTCTATTAATTCAAATATATATATATACATATGTATAAATAATATTAGATTAATAATAAATTTTAGTGTGTAGCAAGAACCATTACCGTTATGTAAATTGAATTTATACATAACCATATTCATTAAAAGACTTTAATGATCAAGAATCCTATAATTATATGAAATAAAGAAATTGATTAAAATTTATTGATAAATAATTACTATAAATATTTTTACAGAGGTAACGAAAAAGAGATTTTTTAATTAATACCTTAAATTTCCAGAAACCACTTTATTTTCTAATACAGCTTGTGATGGGATATCAATTCTAGCACCATGATTAGCAACAATAATAACAGTCCCTTTGAGTTGTACACCAGAGCCAAATGTCACATCACCTGTAACTGTTAAATGATCAAGTTCGAGGATATGTGGTGGTGATTGGAAACGAGCCAGAAAATTTGAAACCTAATAATTGCATTGAAATTTTACATATAAATATAAATTTTTTATCAATAATTAATAATCAATAATAATAATAATAATAATATTATTATTATTATTATGATGTTTACATACCTTTTTAAACTCGTCACCCAACTTAACCAAAGGAACGGTTTGGAAAAGACGTTTTGGATTCATTACAAGTTCGCCGTGATGGAGTGAATATAAATCTGATGTGACCAGAAACAAATCAGAAGTAGATTTTACAGGTAGGAAACGACTTCTCGGGACATTAATTCCATGAGCATTTTTGAAATGTTTAATAGCTGCACCGACGGCTGTTTCCAACTGTATAACCTTTTCTCCAGATTCGAGTGTCTTACTATTATAAATCACGTCCAAATCTAATTTCTTTTCATCAGAAATACGTTTAGCCGCCGCTTTCAAATTAATCCATAAATTGTTCGTATTGAAAATCTTGAATTTTTTTATAGATTTGAATTCTTCCATATACTCGGCCGGTACTTGTGCAACCTCCAACAATCTAATATTTCCTTCATAATCTATCAATGTACCTCCTTTAATGTCTGCTTTAGTTTTATCAGTAACTTCCATCAGAAATTCGGCTCCTGATTCTACAAAGTGTTGAAGAATTTTTAAGTCAACAACAGCACCCAGATTGTCAACATTGGACACAAAAAGATATTCTTTTCCATCAGCTATCAATTGATCTAATATTCCCGAGTTAGCCATTGATTCAAATAAATCACCATGGCCTGGTGGATACCTAAATTCATTTATTTTTATATTTTTATCATTATAAAGAAAAAACAACTAAATAAAAAAAAAATGCAAGTTGCAAGTACAATTTTAAAATCTTACCATTGGCTTATATCTCCATTTATAGATCTTGGCATGGGTAATAAAGATTCTTTATTGATCCTTGGGTATCTTGATTGATTAAAGGTGAGAATGTCAATTTTATGACTACTATATTTTTGAATGATTCGTTTAGTTTCATCGTCCGTATTAAAAGAATTCATAAGTATGAATGGTACATTGACATTGTAATTACTATTGAAATACTATTATTATAATTTTTTACAAAAAAAAAAAATACATGTATATGAATTTTTTCTTCAAATTTTTCAGAATTAAAATTAATTGCAAAATTGATTACAAACCTCAATTTGTCTAACACTTAAATCCAAGAATGTCATATTATCTCTTACTTCAATTGCACTTTTGGGACCAATACAACCCATGGTTGTTCCAAGGCCACCATTAAGTTTAAGTACGGCTAATTTATTGAGACTTTCAGTATTTTCACAAACCGGTGATAAATTCTTATAAGGAATAATTTGTTCGGGACTAGGTTGTTTTACCTTATCCCAATCTCTTTTTATTGATCAGGATTATATATAGTATTTTCGTATATGTGTAAAGCAGTTTATATGTAAATATGCTGATTGTGCAAAATAAATAAAATTGGAATGGAATGGATCAAGGAAGCTTACAATTTGGTTCCCTTTGATTTCTCACTCAAATAACGAGTGAATAGTAAATAGAAATTATCCATTTCGTTTTGAAAGGCCTAAATAAAACTCATCAAGTTAAAAATATTCATAATATAAGTGTAAAAGTTTCAATACATTTCAAGGAAATCATTAAATACTCTTCGAGCTTTCATATCTTGAATCGAAAGTGCCATTTTCTGAAGTTCAGAACGCATAGTTTTGGCCGCAACGCCTGAACTTGCACTCTGAAAATCCTTTAAGTAATAATAATAGCGATAATATTATTATTTATCATACGGAATATATATATATATATACAAGTAAATAAACCATTCAAAAAAATAAAACGTTAGATGATAAATACCACAGCAGACAAGGTATGAATGTGACGTCCTTCTTTTTCATTATTAGAATTTGGAGCATTCAACATATTTTCAAAAATTTTTTAAAAAAATTTATTTTTAGAAATGAAGTTTATTTTATTTTGAACAATAGTGTAAAGATAAAAATAATACACTTTAGATTCATGTGTTAAGAAGTGATTATGCAGTGTAACGATTATGTTTCTATGTGAATATGTTATAGTCTATCCACTTTGTGTTATGGATTCACAATATACATATTGATCCAAAATTTTTTTTATTATGAAATATTATTTCAACTTTGTTATTATAAAATGCGTATGTATATGTGAATGAATTGATGAAAAATATCAGATTTATTTCAAAATTTATTATGACTTATTATATATCATATTTGTTGGAATTAATTAAATAAAATAATAAATTTACCTTGGAAATTTTTTTGTGTGCGTGTATTTTCATCTTCTTCTATCTCTAAAATTTCTTCCTCCATCTCTTCTATCATCTCTTCTATCATCTCTTCTATCATCTCTTCTATCAATCTTTAATCCATCTCTATCACGATCACGATCTCTTTCGGAGTCACGATTTCTTTCTCTATCACGATGATCTCTATCAATACCAATTCCTGTACGGAAATTTCTACCAACACCACCTCCTCCTCCACGATCCCCACCACCACGATCTCTATCATGATCTCTATTTCTATCCCTTAAACTTCCACGTCTTTCTATGATTCTAGCAGGTGGTGCCCCATGAAAAATTGCTACATCCAAAAAATCACCAATAACAAATCTTGCATCATCAAGATTTATATCATCATCAGTACTTGAAGTTGAATTATGTACAATTCCAAGATCTTTAAACATATATCTACCACGTAAATTGTCAATATATACTAAATTAAATGACAGGCGTGCATTTGGTCGATTAGCATCTTGATTTACTTCTTTTATAAGATTAGCTATCTCTTTCAAAGTTGCATCCTTCCTATTTTCATGATATTAATAGTGAAATTGGTAATTATTATTATGATGATTATAAAAATTCACAATAAATAATCTCATTTCTGTATATAATATTTATACCATGTATATATTTGTACTTCGTCATCTATAGGAAGACGCTCGGGCGTGTAGTCATCAGGTCTATTGTAAAGATTCAATAATTTATTACAAAGACAACTTCTAAACTTCAAAATAATAAAAAATCAAGGGTTGGTTACCTGTGATGGTAACTTGGTCTACAAAACATTCTCAATAAAAATGGTACGGTCTAAAGAAAAAGACGATTTAAATAAATTGTCAATGAATTAGAGAGTAACAAAAAGATCAACCAAAAATCAACTGATTAATTAAATACCTTTTCACGATCAACAACTAGTTTCTTTTTCCCACTTGCAGAAGTGTTTTGTTCAGCCATTGTTTTCAAACTGTTTTCGTCCACTAAACCTATTGTCTTAATTGTGACCTTAAAAGAAAATAAATTAGATGACTTCTACTACTACTACTAATATTATTAGAAAATTGAAAAAAAAATTTTTTATTTATTTTATCGACGCGATGATTTTTTTATTTTCTATATATTTATTATATTTAAATCATGTTACACACATTAATAAATGTACACTAACACTATTTTGTCCGATCAGAAAATCAAAAAAAAAAAAAAATGTTTGGACTTAAAAGAGCAACAAGAATTAACATCACCAAGAAGGTAAATAATAACGATAATAATCTTAAAAATTTATTTTTTAAATAAACAAATAATTGATAATTATTTTATTAAATTAGACTTACCAAAGCCTTTTAATTAGAGGATATGCGGCTGCTCAAGATATTTCAACTTTGCTTCTTGTAGAGCATAAAAATAAAAAGATATCACCATCTACACTAAATGCTTTGACGGCTGCCAATAAGCTTGGTGGAAGTGTGACAGCTCTTGTTGCAGGCGAAGATCCAACAACTGTTGCATCACAAGTTGCAGGGCTTCAAGGAATTTCCAAAATTCTTGTAGCAAAAGATAAAGCATACGAGCACGGAATTGCAGAAGTCTATGCACCATTGTTAGTCAATGCACAAAAAAATTTAAAATTCACACATTTGATAACATCACATTCAGCATTTGGTAAAAATATATTCCCCAGAGTTGCTGCAATATTAGATGTCGCTCAAATATCTGATATAATTGATATTCAAGGTTCCGACGTTTTTGTTAGACCAATTTATGCTGGAAATGCCATTGCAACTGTAAAATCAAAAGATCCTATAAAAATTCTAACAGTTCGCGGAACTGCTTTTCCACCTGCTACAGCTGGTAGTACTGATGCATCATCAGTTGTAACTGAGGCTGCACCTGAAGCAGAAAAACCAACTCTTACAGAATGGATCAGTGAACAAATTCAAAAAAGTGATCGACCTGAACTTGACTCTGCAACCAAAGTTGTATCAGGTGGTAGAGCATTGAAAAGTCGTGAAAATTTTGATAAACTTGTTTATAACCTTGCAGATGCTCTTGGTGCTGCTGGTATGGAAATTTTTTTTGTTAGATTTAAAGGTTGCAATAATAAGTAATATTAGTAATAATAATGATTATTTTTATGTGTTTAGTTGGTGGTTCCAGAGCTGCAGTGGATTCGGGATATTGTGATAATGCATTGCAGGTAGGTTTTTAAGATGTTAGCAACTATTACAGTTAACATAGGCAAGCATTAATATGATCTCCAATATGATTTTAGGTTGGACAAACAGGAAAGGTTGTTGCACCAGATTTTTATTTGGCAGTTGGTATTAGTGGAGCTATACAACATATAGCTGGTATGAAGGATAGTAAAATAATAGCAGCTATAAATACAGACCCAGAAGCACCAATCTTTCAGGTATTTTAAATATATACTATCATTGTTGTTATTATTTCCATTTAAATTAGCTATATATATTTAAAAATTAATTTTTTTTAATAGATTGCTGATTTGGGCCTAGTTGCAGATTTATTTACAGCTGTTCCAGACTTGACAGAAAAATTAAAGAAAAATTAAATCATAAAATTAAATATTTCAAGTTGAATTTTCTATTAGAAATGCATATTTATTTTCAAACCTCATGTTTGTAATGTTTTAGTTTTTATTATTTTGAATCCTATCTAATAAAAATATTTGATTCATGATCCATGGTCAGAAGTAGACATATAGATCTGGGGCAAATTAACTGATTGAAAATTTTCTCTTCCAAGATAACATGTCCATAAATGTTCAGCAAATAAAAAATGGATACTTACTTTACTTTTTGTGTGATACAAATTTGGGACTGATAGACTGATATACTGACTCGACCAGTACATCCAATCCTCCTCCACAATCACTTATTCGCCAACTTAATTTTCAACATTGGGGACAATGATTTTCTACATAGTGCAGAATGCCGCAGAAATCACGGAATATGTATATTATTATTATTATTATTATTATTATTATGCCAGGAAATTTATCTGCTAAATCGAGATCAAAACTTTGAATAATTAATTTGTTATGTGGCAACAAACATTAAATTATGCAACACTTGGTAGATTATGCAAATATGTACTATAATTTATTAAACCATTTTTATAATCACTAATTAAAAAAGTAAAAAAGTAAGGGATATTATAAGGGTTAATTGTTGTAACAATTGATTGGGAGATTGTTGAATAATTGACTATTTCTAAAAAAGAAGTCTTTACTAGTTTGGTATATTTTTCATAGCTAAATAAAATATCAACTGCACTACGACTACATTACAAATTCCTTTTTATAGATAAAATTATCAAAAACAACAATTAATCCTGAAATAGAGATTGAATGTTGATTTTGTTGATTCTTACGATCGATAATAATAATATTATAAAATTTTGGAACCAAATTAAAATCCATTTAACCTTGACATTACAGATTTCATATGAAACTCCCGATATTATTATTAATATCTGGTTTGCCAAGTCGACCGAAACGTTTAAATCCCTGATTGGAGGATTTTTTTGGGTAGTGGTTTTTATTGATATCTGTCGTTCTTTCGTAAAGCTTTTTAAATGGAATGTATCTTACTTGCATACAATGGGAAAGTAAGAAAATTTGCCGTGTTACTGTCTTTTTCTAAATTCCGTCGATTTTGCAAATTAATTTCTTTTCATGTTAAGTTCTGTTTGGTTTTTGGTACGATCAATGATTTCACCTTTTAAATGAATTTTGAGTCGTACGGCAAATATTCTAGAGTTCTTTGGAATTGCAATTTGCAAGTGCCTTGCCATTGCCTTGCCTGTTGTTTGCGATGCAATGAACTTTCCGCTCCCCAAAAATTTTTTTTTTTCGAAAAAAGGTTCATTATATTAATATAGTCGAATAAAAAATCAAATTGGGATAATTTTGATTATTCCAATTGTTAATTTTTGAAAAAAATACGGGACTGATAAACTTGATTTGCGTCAAATAAAAAAACGTTTACATAGCTGCGCAACCAAAATTATTATTATCACATCAAAATCCATAAAAAGGGTTTTAAATTGTTATGTAGTGATCTGTAGCTGCGAAACTAAAGTTATTTGAATATAATTATCAAACAGAATCTATTTTTTTAAACAATAAACAAAATCTTTTAA